GTAAAATGCAGTGCTTCACACAACCACCCATGTGACTTAGAGCAGAGGACAAACATTGAGATTGGACACTCAATATAGCTGCTGTCATCTATGGGAACTTGATTGCTCCATTCTTGCAGACCCAGACTGCACTTCTGTAAAAAAATATTGGTTTAATATTGGCATGAAGTAAAGCAGGAAAAAATACCCATAGGATGCTTTCATTTAAATAGGCACAGATGCATTTAATCTGTAGAAAGATGGCTTTATTACAGTCCAAGGCAATATTGGGTGATAAGGTTAACCCTCACATAAGCAACTTGCTTGGAAGGAAAAGAATGGATACTTTTAGAAATGCATGAATTTATTAGCAGCAGAAAAGAGAAAATGAGATTATGGGAGTTTGTGCTGCTGAAGAATTTTAGAAAAACCAATATTACTTCTTGAGAAATACTATAATCCACTCACTGAACTTCAACTGATTGGAAAGTTTATGTATATACATTGCAGTTTAGATATCAGTGTAAAAAAGAATAGGGAAATCAGAGATTTCAAATTTGCTTAGGTTTGGTCTCTCACTCCAAAAATATTTGGAGATGAGAATTATAAGAAATACTATAGATTTGGTTAGAATCAGGAAAAATTAAGAACTGTTCAACAATGGTGCTGTATTGACTGTCACCTGACACAGTGGATCCCCTGTTTGCTGGCGGCGGTTAATCAGAGGCTAGATGGTGATCTCTCATGAATCATCTAGTACAGTGGTTCTCAACCTGTGGGTCGGGACCCCATTTGGGGTCAATCGACCATTTCATGGGGGTCGCCAAGCAAGGCTGTCTGCCATTTTTTTTATCCGTCATTTTTTTGTCCGCCATTTTTTCCCCCCTTTTCCGGTGGGTTCCTTACCTCCCTTGGGCTGGGCCAGCTGGTGGTCGGCCTGCTCCGTCTCTGCCGCTTGCCAGCTACGCCTCGGCCGGCGCAGGGGGTGGAACCACGCATGCGCGGCGCTCCCGGGCAGGAAAAGTCCTCGACTTACGACTGGTTGGGTAGTCCTCGACTTACGACCGGTTTAGTCCTCGACTTACGACCGGTTTAGTCCTCGACTTACGACCGGTTTAGTCCTCGACTAACGACCGGTTGGGGTCGCGGCATTAAAAAGGTTGAGAACCACTGATCTAGTAGAGGATTGTTGCATTGGGTAGCAAACTGGACAAGATAAATTCTAAGGTCTCCTCCAAGATTATAGCATCTCCTTAAAGTTCTACCTTGTCTTTTTAAGGAACCTGTTTTGAGACATTGGAACTGTAAGGTTATTGGCCTAGGATTGCCCATTTGACTGGGAGGAGACGGCTGCATTTATAATACTTAAAACCAAATGTGTGCACAATTATCCTTTTCTATACCGTTGTGCTCTTTAATAAGGACCATGGAAACATCTGGCTTTAGTTTTATAGGGCACATTCATCATGTTTGTGTGTTTTCTTCTATATGTGATGCAAACCAGTTATTAAGTTCAGAGCAGATGCTGAACTTTCCCCTGTTGACTTGATGATCACCTCTTTTTAGCAGCACAGCTTGGCAGTGGAAAACATTGATATCCTAGAACCAGGGGTAGGCAACCTTGGCTCTTTTATGACTTGTGGACTTCAACTGCCAGAATTCCTGAGCCAGCCATGCTGAGGGGAAAGTGAGAGGTTTCCAAGCTGAGCCATGCTGGCTCAGGAATTCTGGGAGTTGAAGTCCACAAGTCATAAAAGAGCCAAGGTTGCCTACCACTGTCCTAGAAGGACAAGATGAAGCAAGGTGTAGAATCTGTTTTCACCCTCCTCAGATAAAAGAAATGTCCTTTTTTTTTTTACAGTTTCCCCCCCACACACACACACACATTCTTGGGGACACTTTGCCTTTCTTCTGAGGGTTTACAAAGAGGTTGAGAAACTTTATTGTAAAAAGATTGATGTAATGCCTAGGAATGAGATCAAAGTTATAGGGAAGAGGGGACATCACATAATTTCTCATTTAATTTTATAAAGCTCTCAGTCAGTTTTGAAAATGAATGTTGTTGGTCTGATAATAGTATCTAAACTACATGAACTATTTAAGCTAAACACCAAGGCTCTATACCTCTAACCCTTATGATGGAAAGGGAAGATGCTGCCTCTTTAAGACCATCCTCCTTTGTATTCTGTGGCTGCAGGAAGCTTGGCTTTAGGCTGATGTCCTCGTGTCCAACTACAAAGCAAAGAAGAGGCGCTTTCCTTGTTTGGCTTCTCTGTTCCAGCAGTCACACAATGAAGCCTTGTTGTGTCAGGAACTCTGCTCTCTGAATTGGCTTTGACTAGAGAGATTTGACTTCCCACTCCTAATTGGAAATCTGTACTCCCATTAGGACACATTCCCCATTGCTCGCTGTACTCCCCCACCAAATACCACGAGGATTTTGCCAGGTAGAGTGATAATATATTTTCTGATTGGCTACACCCACTGTTGGTCTTCCCCATCTGACATCCTAATATTAATCTAGGAGTTCCATCTTGACTCTTACTTCAAACCAATTTAACCAGCAAAAATCCTGAGTCAAGTCAAGGCATCTTGCATCTGTAATGATGAGAATGTGGTTGAACTTCTTTAGTGACATTTGCAGGCTGTCTTATGATGCTGGCTGCATATGTGAAAGTCTGTGTATGCCACTGTGCAGATGTAGGTCAGAATTCTGGAATGAACTGGCTCTTTCAGCTACCACGTGCTGCCTCTTCCATGGGGTATCTTTGATAGATAGGATGCTCAAGTTCTGATTTTTGCTAAGAATCCTGGGGCACCATGCTTCCTCCATTTACTGGACTCATGAATATAAGAAAGATAAATTATCCCTTTTACATGTCCTTGCAGTAGGCATAAAGCCAGTAGATGCAAAGCATTTCTACACAGAGCCATTGTGCATAACTCTAGTACTGCTTCTAGGGTCAACCAGATTAACTGTTAAAAAGATTGCAGTGGGATTAATCAAGCTACTTCTGAAGATAGGACACAGCTGTGTGCATATGATTGCAGTTCACCACCACCTGATGCAGATCTGTATATCCTAATTCACTCTGAAAAGTTGAAGCTGTTCGAGGAGTCTTCTGAAGAATAGAATTGTATGTGATTTATGATTTGTATCTGGAGCAGATTTGGGTCATTTGCAATACCAACCCATTACTAACAACCCGATTTGTATTAAACAGATCTACAGTATCAGCCATCCTTCTTGGGATTAGCATTCTAAACCTGCTGGTGTGAATCTAGATTTGTGAAAGGAGAGATTGATGCAGAAGCTAATGTTAGACTGACATGCTTTGTAAAAGTTAGAGCTGAGAAAGGATCATGCAGTTTATAATAAAAGAATAATATATGTCTCAGGGTGTGGCAGCTCTTCTGCCACTGCCTTATCTTAAAGGCACAAATTACATGCAGTGAAATTCTCCGCTTTGTGAAATGGTGATATTATCCATTCTGCACAACATTATAGAAAAAAAATGCATTCTCATTTGGAGTCTTGAGCAGGTCATTCTCCTAAGAGTGTTGAATGTATCTTGAGACTTTCACAGTTTCAGTGAATGTCACATAGTTTTATATGGTTCCCCCCCCCCCTTCTTAAAAAATACAGTAATGCCTTCTAATTCTTGTCCCAGGTATTTCAAATCCCGGATTTGTGGCATTTGTGCTGTATTCAAGGTGTGAACTTAGAATTTGTGATCTAATACAGGCTTCTCTAACCTAATTTGCAAAATCTGATATTGCCATTTTATGTTTGCAAGAAGAAGAAAAATCATGGCCTAAGAGAGCTTGATTCTGCTTGCTGGTAAAATTAAATAACATTTTCCTTGCATGTCAAATCACCATTAAAATTGTTCCCCATCCCCCAAAGAAACCTTAAAACATTTCTTCCAAAGTGCAAATATACGCTGTAATGCTAAGTCTTAAGAATCTTTATTTTATTGTTATTGTTATGCCCAGAAGGTAATACGGTAATGAAGCATATTGAGCAGAAAGAAATCAGATTTACAATAAATCTTTTTGACATTTTGTATTATAAGTCCAGGATCCACTTCTCATTTTCTGAAAGTATTATTTTTGATCAGATTAAAGAATCTCTCTAGTCCAGCATTTTTGCACTTTTTGGGGGCCACTGGGAAACTTGTAAACTCAAGACTGAAAGATAAGTAAAATGACTAGAATGTGTGCAAGAGGGCATATGTTGTGTACCCCAAAGTTTTATAGCATAATCTGGTGATAGAAAGCTGTGCACCTATAATGGCAGGGACTTGTCATTTCTCAAAGAACAAATTGGGTCATTACATTGATCAAGAATTGACAGCCTTTATGGACAGAGATCTATCTACCTTAGGCTTTCAAGGGGCAGAGGGTCCCACTCAACAAAGGAATGGGCCAGAATAAAAATTGAATGTACATTCTTTTTACTTTAAATTACATTAATTAAATATTGGTGTAAGGGAACTACATGCACAGTGTTTAGGAATCTTTTTCCTTTTCATGGTATGCTTTGGATGGCCTCTCTGGGATCCACGGCTTTGGGAGTCTATCAACCATCCTGTGATATTAGTTTGTTCTCCTCTAATATAGATTTTTTTTACATTGTAATATTTGTGCTCTCTCACTGAACCTGAGTGAATGTTAAGGCTTTCATATGAGAAGTTTTGGGGGTGCCAAGGTTTAATCCAGAATGTAGTATCCTTGGCCGTGGAAGAACATTTCTATGATCATGTATACACAACACACACATACAACACCCCTGCCCTTGGTCTAGTAAGAGAAGAATATTGAGCAATCTCCACCCTTTGCTTAGGCATTCTTGATAGTCTTTGTTCTTTTCAGTCCTTTCTTTTCTATACCTCTTTGACACACAAGGAACCACTGAATTCATAGAAATCTTTCCTCAAGTTTTACAGTTCTGAGGGAACCTATAAGACTATCCAGACCAACCCCAAACCTAGAGCATAACTCTTTGTTTCTTCTTGCAGTACCAACCGACCTGACCCCTGAAGAGTGTCAAGAATTGGAGAACATCCGTCGGCGGAAACAGGAGCTGCTGGCAGACATACAGGTGTGTGAAGAAAGGACAGGAGAATAGAAGTGCAATTCAGCAAGCCATAACTCAGGTTAAAGGTCATGTCTCGGGAGCACCTGCCTGAAATGAGTTGCTGAAAGTTAAAATATGGAGGGTGGGAATGGTTTGGCTCCACATAAACAGTTTTCTGCAGAAGAGATGAAGCAGTTGTCAAATTAATAGGTTTTGGTGTGCCACATTTCTGACAAGGGTAACCCTTTTTTTACATGTTCACATTCTTCGTCTAAGATGAGTTAATCCCTGTTTTGGGATACAGCTCTCTCTGAATCCCTGGCACTTTTGTTCCGGCTGCTCATCCCTATTCCTTTTGGGACTTAATTGTTTGCTGTGTTGTTACTCAGTGCAAAGATAAACTAAATTTACAGATGTGCAAGTTTCCCTTCCCATGCCTCTTTGTTTACCTTGCCCCTTAGTAATTATAGCCCAACTCTCAGACATTGTAAATTGAAGCCAGTGATTCTATCTGTGGGTGAGTTTTCTTTTTTAAAAAATTAAAAATTGGTGATTTCAATTTCCCTGATTTCCTCTGGGTAGGTGGTCCTGAGAGTTTGTACAGTGAGGATCTTGAGCTGTAATATTGCAGATGAGTGGGCAGCCATGACTCTGAACACTAAGGAAAGGGAGGTGCAAAATGACAAGGAGATCCAATTGCACAGCATAGCTCCCAAGTTATTCCCCCCCCCCCAACTTCAATCTCCATTCTGGCCTGTCAAAGAAGTGAGGAGATGTTTTATCTCCCTTCTCTCCTGTCCCCCTGTCTTTCAGCTCTCTCTTCTTTCCCTATCAGACAAGATAGAGCCATTTTTTTAAATTTGCATTTTCCCCCAAGAAATTGTACCTTTTGAAAGGTGGCTTTATTGCATCCCGTCCCACTCACTGCATTATCTACTAGCCAGATAGATCTGCTTTTGGCTCTGTCAGGAGCCGTCTGTTCCCTGTAGCAACTTGCTCCTTGGAGCTTTGCTTTGGCACGGATGCTCTTCAAGCCCATCAGCAATAAATAAAACAGCAGCAGGGGCTAATCACTGACATGTGCTGGACGCTTGCTAATGGGATTAGCCCAGTAACTGTGTTAGCCCCAGGGGTTTATCTTCTTCCTTCCGCTGAGAGAAGATTGGCCTGCTGGTGGCTCAGTTGTCCTCAGAGCCAAGACAGAGAGACTTGCTTCATTTTGGCCACCCTAGCCTAAACTTTGGGCTGCAGAAGATGGGCAGTGAAGGAACAATGTCTCTTGGCTTTAAAGGAGCCACAGGGGTCAGATTGTTAGTTCTGTAGCTGCAATTGGGATATTGGATGCTTCTAAATCTCAGCTTACTATACTCTTGTCTTTTAGTGGCAGCATGAATTTGGTTGTTCTTTTCTATGTTCTGTAAGTGTGCCTTTTCTTCTCTTCTCTTGCCCCTCCACTGAACATTCTCAGGTCTGAATTGGAAATTTGAAAAAGGTGAAACTGGTATAAAATAGAGTTCAGGCAAAGCTGATATAATAAAACTTGTTCTCCATTCTGAGGTTAAAAATAAATGTTAACTTCCTCCCTGGCTCAGGTTGATCAAAAGCGTCACTTCATTACTTATTCCATGATTTCCCCCCTTGTTCTTCTATACAGCGTCTGAAAGATGAGATAGCAGAAGTCACTAATGAAATTGAGAACCTGGGCTCCACAGAAGAGAGGTGAGTCCTGATGGAGAAGTGGGAAGGTGAAATTTGCTGGCATTTCACTATTTTTGGAATGAATATTGGAAAGAAAGAAGTAGTCACTCTAGCAAAATCCCTAATCTGTTGAAACTAAATCCTGTTGTTAGTGGCTATTGTGGACCATTGATTGATTGATTTGGAAAATTTAAATGGCTGCCGTATCTTACATAAGAACTTGGGTGACTAATAGCAGTCAATTAGAACAATACAATAAATCCTTCATAAATAAAACCAAAAACAATTTGCCTACTGAATGAAAACATTCCATTTTCTAGGAATTCAGTGTCTGATTTTTAATCTAAATAACAAATATGCCTTTCTGTATATGCAGCACGTTAGTGCTTATGTTGTTAAAAAAAACATTTTTGGAAGTTTTTCCTCATGAAAATATTCAGTGACATTGAGAGTTTTGCTGACTTCAGTTTTCTGAGAAATGAATCTTGTTACCTAATTCCCTGATAGGTTTGAAAGTGAATGTTCATCTTGTTATAGAAATTAGGAATTTGCTTGTGTTTAGAGGCTTTAGATTGGGCCTTAAAGCCTTTCAGGGGCATTAGAATCACAGTATCAACTATTGAACAGCACGGGATGAGAATGTGTTTGTTAAGCTTGCAGTTAGAATGCAAGATGGAGAAAAAGGTTAATTGTATTGCAAGCAGAGATTGTATCAGAAGTAGTGTCCACATGTTGGTTTGTAATAAAGGAGACTGAGCAACCTTTTTGTGTTACCTAGGAAAAACATGCAGAGAAACAAGCAAGTGGCAATGGGCAGGAAGAAATTCAACATGGATCCTAAGAAGGTAAATGAGACTACTTTCTTGGTGTTGTATTAATAGCAACTATACACCAGGCAAAATCCTGCATTATCAACAGGATTAAAGGATGTGATCCCAAATTGGCTATATCAAGTTGGGCCTTACTTATATTCGTGTTTATCTCTATTTTTCCTTCTTCCCCCAAATTATCTGCTAAACCTCTTGGAACAATTCCTCCCCCAAGGATTCTTTGGAAATAAGCAATAAGGTCTGTAATTTCCCTTCTCCATCCAGGAGAATTTAAGGGTGAGGCTGTTTCTTAAAAGCAGAACTCATTTTAACACAGCTTAATACAACCCTAACACAGCTGGGATTTCAGTTTGTTAGGCCTTCTGATAGCTTATCATGATGATGGAAAAAGTGTGACATTTGGGATAAATCATGTGTAGTGAGTCAAGCAATCATTTCAAACTAACTTCAGCTGCAGAATTCATTAAGTGAGTTTAAGGAAATTATTGTTATATTGATTGCAGACTCCTCCAACTCCTTGCAGTCTCTTGTGCTTGAAATAGATATCAATTAGGATAATTTGAAATTGAATGGCAGATGTTACAGGTTCTTATTTCTATGCTCTCACATAGCAAATGTTTGAAGCACTTTCTCTCCCCTCCCCTGGGTTTGCAGGGAATTCAGTTCCTCATAGAGAATGACCTTTTGAAGAATACCTGTGAAGACATTGCTCAGTTCCTCTACAAGGGGGAAGGACTCAACAAGACTGCCATTGGTGACTACCTGGGGGAAAGGTAATTAACCAGGTCATATTATTGAGAATGGAATGTAGGTTAATCTTTACACATTGTTTTTCTTTCTTAATGTTTAGAGAAAGCGCCAAACTCAGCAGAAGAGTACAGGTAGTCCTTGACTTACAATCATTTGTTTAGTGACCGTTTGAAGTTACAACGGCACTGAAAAAAAGTGACTTATGAGTGTTTTTCACACTTACAACCATTGCTGCATCTCCATGGTTTTGTGATCAAAATTCAGATGCCTGGCAACTGGTTCAAAATTATGCAGTTGCAAGATCCCAGGGCAATGAGTTCATCTTTTTCAGCCTTCTGACAAGCAAAGTCAATGGGAAAGCCAGATTCACTTTACAACCATGTAACTAACTTAACAGCTGAAATGATTCACTTGGCAAAGATCATAAAATTGGGCAAAACTCATTTAATAACTGCCTCAGCAACAGAAATTTTGGGCTCAGTTGTACTTGTAAGTTGAGGACTATCTGTGTGTAGTCTGTACTCAGAAAGGAGGAAATAGGAAGATCCTTATGATTTAGGGATCATCAGAGTAGCAACTCTAAGTTACATGGATTCAGCATATAATTATTAGGCAGGAGGAACAAACACAGACCTTAACTATAATCAAGCTCTGTCACCTGTATATGATGTAATCCAGGGGTGTCAAACTCAAGTTCATTGAGGGCCGCCTCAGCATTGCCGTTGCCCTCAGGGGTCTGGGTGGGTGTGGCCAGGGTAGGTGCGGCCTACTGGGTGGGTGTGGATGGAGTGGGCGTGGCCTACTGGGTGGGCGTGGCCAGCTCTACATCGCTCACATCAAGGGTGCCTGTGGGGGCCAGGGCAGGAGTGGGGCAGATCTGAGGGTCTCTGGCAAAAGGGGGTGGGACCAGGGCAAGTGCCAAGGCATGGACCACTGGAGGAGCCTCACGGTTCCTCTCAGGCCATGCGGGGGGAGGGCTGGATGGTGGTGCGGGCTGCCCGGAGTCCTGGGCAGCAGAGGTCAAATGCCCAGCCTGGCCCTCGAGCACCCACGGCACCAAGCCCAGTCCCACTTGCCCAAGGGGGCGCTCAGCTGCTCTTATCTCCTCCTCAAGGCTGCTGCTGCTGTGTTTGCTCTCCTTAGCCAGGTTGCTCATGATGGGTAAAGGGCAAAGTCAGAGGAAGGCCCATTCCCTCTCCATGGGAGGAGACCCAGCTTTGTATCCAAAGCTTCCTTAGCAATAGGATGGGAGACCCCCAGGATAGGCCAGGAGGAGGGGGCAAGAGGATGGTGAAAGGGCAGCAGGGCAGGACTAAGGTAGGACTTCCCTCAGACCCTCCCTCTCCTTTCCTTCTTTCCCTCCTTCTTTCCTAAGTACAGAATGGTGGGAAGATATTTGAGATGAGGAAGAAAAACAGGCAAGAAACGCAGCTGGGTAGGTGTCACCCTTCGTGAGGAATGAAGAAATGCACTGTCGCCTGGAAGTGGCCAGCGCGATGGTGCATTTCTTCATTCCTCACAAAGGTGACACTCCCCAGCATGCACCCAGAGGACGAGGACGACATGGCAGGGGCTGGTTCCTTGCTGTTTCCAGATGGCCTTGTGGAGCTAAGACTGAATGCATTTCAGCATAGATGGCTACCATAAAATTGTACATTGGCTCCTGGCCAGCCTGGGCCAGGGCCAAGGCAATGGGGGCTGTTCCCTCACTGTTTCCAGGATGGCTTCGTGAGCCACATGAAACCACTTTGCAGGCTGCATCCGGCCCCCGGGCCTTGTGTTTGACATGTCTGATGTAATCTATAACAAGTAATAAATCGCTCAGTCCAGAATTTCAATGTATTCTGTTTCCTTCCCTCAGAGATGAGTTTAATATCCAAGTATTACATTCTTTTGTGGAGCTGCACGAGTTTACAGATCTCAACCTTGTACAGGCACTGCGGTGAGTGACAGAGGAAGAGATTATAATATTAGACAGATGCAAGTCTTATGTGTCTGTAGGTGTAACTGTAGATCGTGTTTTATTTCCCATGGTTTTGGATTAACTAGCATCTTTCATGTCTGGAGAGCCAGTTTGGTGTAGTGGTTAAAGGTACTAGGCTAGAGACTGGGAGACCATGAGTTCTAAACCTACCTTAGGCACAAAGCCAGCTATGTGATTTGGAGCCTGTCAACCTCTCAATGTTGGGAAACTCCCAGCCAGGCAGGAAGGAGGGGTCAGGTGAGGAACTAGCCTTGAGTTCTTGAATAGCCACAAAAGGCATAAGCCTGACTCACCCGAAGTTTCATGGAACCTTATATCTGGTTGTTCCCAAGAGAAGGCAAGTAGTCTGGAGAGATTCTTGTATTATAGGTAGAACACAGTGAAGTTGCTGACTTGGACCCTTCACTAATGGATCTGTTGTTGACACTCCTAATCCTAAAACTGAGGGAATGGCAAACCACATCACAATGACTGAAAAACTGACTCAAAGGCACACCCACACACAAACCACAATAGATGATTATACAGCGTGTTGGCTGGGGCTATGGGAGTTACTGGGGGTCTGGTAGCACTTGAAAGTCCAGATCTGCTCTGTTCCTGATGTAGCCTGTGGGTAGAGGTGTGGGGAAAGTTTTGAATTCTATTTCAGCCTCAAAACAGGTTTTTCTGATCATACCAGAAGTATGCCAATGCTTTGTTGACAATTCTGCAGCATTCCTGCCTTGAATCAGCCTTATTTTTCCCAACACTTTCTTTATCAAGCTAACATCAATCAGATATGCTGGCTTTGTAACTTGTCAGAATTCCCAGCTGGTTGCTTCTGTAGGCAAGAAATTCTAAGAGTTGTATTTCCAACACTTTGCCAGGGGAAAGATAAATGGAATATTATTTGTGCTATAGCTTTCCTCACAACTGTACAGTGCAGAAATGGACATATAGGCTAAATTTTCATTGCCCTCACAGGCAATTCCTTTGGAGCTTTCGGTTGCCAGGTGAAGCGCAGAAAATTGACCGGATGATGGAAGCATTTGCACAACGGTACTGTCAATGCAACCCTGGTGTGTTTCAATCAACAGGTAAGTGAACAACTACCTCCAGAAGTTGTGGGAGCTCCAACACTGGAGGTTTTTAAGATGAGATTGGACATCTGTCTGAAATGATGTAGGCTTTCCTGCCTAAGCAGGAGGTTGGACTAGAAGACCTCCAAGGTCCCTTCTGACTCTGTTATTCTGTTAATTGTCACTTTAAGTTGTGCAGTATGTGCAAAGTGAAATTAATCACTAAGATTTCTAGAAAAAAACTGCCTTCTGGTTTACAGTGCTGAACCTTCAAGTTCACTGATGAAATTAGAGAAGGCTTAACACTGAAATGAACGAAGATGGAACCAAAGAACTAAAAATGTTCTCATTCTTTGTTTCTGGTCTAACTGAAACGGGGTAATAATGCCCCCTTTTAAAAAAGATAGTGGTAATACTTGTGAATGATCCAGGAATTCCAGAATTTGAAACATAGAGCTCAGTTATGCTTCTTAATTAGCTGTTGATATTTTTGTTTGCATGCTATCGCACGCTTCAAAATCTAAGGGACTGGTTTGGACAAAACTCAGCAGCACTTTTTCGTGCGGCTGCTGATAAAAACAGGATCGCCAACATGATCTCCAACCTCCGATAACGGATATGGCACAAGAAGAAGAAGAAGAATGCTATCGTATAACAAAGGATCTCAGAGAAATTTATAACAATTAACTTAGCAACCGAGTTACCTTGTGATCATATGGGCAGCAAATTTAATAAATAAATACAAAAATTAAGCGTGAAATCATATTCAAAAACATTAACAATGTAGAGAAAATGAAAAAAAAACCTTTGATGTCAAGTAAAAACAGATCTTAGCTGAGTTATTTAAAAGGTGGTGGGCACCATGATCACTACCCCAGTCTTCATTGCCCCTAGAAGGCATATTTCTGGAAAAGCTATTTCTTAAGCATACTATTACTCAACATCCCTCTCCCTTACTAGCTACTTATTTAGGCACACACAGCCTTTGAAGAAATGAGTAAGTCTTATGTGAGAGCCAACTTGGTGTAATGGTTAAGGCATCAGGCTAGAACCCAGGACACTTTTCTAGCCCCACCTTAGGTTTGAAAGCCAGACAGGTGTTGGGGCCGGTCACTCACTCTCAGCCTAATCCATCTCACAGGATTGTTGTTGTGGAGAAAATAGGATGAGAAAGGAATGTTACATATGTTCACCACCTTGAGTGGACATAAAAATATTAAATGCAGGAAATAAACAAACAAATAAATGGTAGAAGGCAATATTTCAGGTAAAGTGACCCCAATTGGCTTAAAGTTTCAAAAGACTTTAAAAGTCAATCTGGGTTCTACAAGTAGTCCTCAGTTTACAATCTTTCCTTTAATGTCCATTTGAAGTTACAACTGCACTGAAAAAAGTGAGTTACAGTCACAATTTTAGAACCATTTCAGCATCCCCCTGGTCACATGATCAAAACACGGGTGCTTGGCGTGCTTGCTTCGGCAGCACATATACTAAAACACGGGTGCTTGGCAACCGGCATGAATTTACAATGGCTGCAGTATCCTGGAATCACGTGATTGTCACTTGCAATCTTCCCGGCTGGTTTCTGACAAGCAAAATCAATGGGGGGAAATCAGATTTGCTTAACGGTCATGTAATGCAGTGAATTCACTTAACCATGGCAAGAAAGGTTTACAGAATTGGGTGTGACTCACTTAACAACTGACTTGCTTAGTAATGGAAATTCTAGTCCCAATTGTGGCCATGCGTCGAGGACTACCCATAGGCTCTAATGTGGATGCGATCTTATGCTTCTATACTGTATAATCCAAACTATATTCCCAAATTGGCTTGAATCTCCTGTTCCCTTTTCTTTCTGTGCCAGATACCTGTTATGTACTTTCCTTTGCCATTATCATGCTGAATACCAGTTTGCATAATCCCAACGTGAAGGACAAGCCCACCGTGGAGCGCTTCATCGCTATGAACCGTGGCATCAATGATGGCGGAGACCTGCCTGAGGAATTACTCAGGGTGAGTTTTGTGGGAAGAGAAGAGACTGGAAATCTGTGGCTAGGCCATAATGGAGAACCCCGTGGGTGTGGTGAGTCACCGGAACAGAGGGCCTACTGTCTGTCTGTCTGCCTGGCAGGCTCTCCCAGGACCCAGGAACAGATCAGGGTTGAATCTACCTTGGTCTTCCCGATATCTCCTGCTCAAATACTGAGCTTCCAAACTCAGTCACGGTTCTTGGGAAGTAGAAAGTGCACTAGTACGTATTGAAAAGGTGGTGCAGAGCCTTTCCGTGGAAGTGATCCACCACATGTTNCAATTCCTCCCCCAAGGATTCTTTGGAAATAAGCAATAAGGTCTGTAATTTCCCTTCTCCATCCAGGAGAATTTAAGGGTGAGGCTGTTTCTTAAAAGCAGAACTCATTTTAACACAGCTTAATACAACCCTAACACAGCTGGGATTTCAGTTTGTTAGGCCTTCTGATAGCTTATCATGATGATGGAAAAAGTGTGACCTTTGGGATAAATCATGTGTAGTGAGTCAAGCAATCATTTCAAACTAACTTCAGCTGCAGAATTCATTAAGTGAGTTTAAGGAAATTATTGTTATATTGATTGCAGACTCCTCCAACTCCTTGCAGTCCCTTGTGCTTGAAATAGATATCAATTAGGATAATTTGAAATTGAATGGCAGATGTTACAGGTTCTTATTTCTATGCTCTCACATAGCAAATGTTTGAAGAGCTTTCTTCCCCCCCCCCTGGGTTTGCAGGGAATTCAGTTCCTCATAGAGAATGACCTTTTGAAGAATACCTGTGAAGACATTGCCCAGTTCCTCTACAAGGGGGAAGGACTCAACAAGACTGCCATTGGTGACTACCTGGGGGAAAGGTAATTAACCAGGTCATATTATTGAGAATGGAATGTAAGTTAATCTTTACACATTGTTTTTCTTTCTTAATGTTTAGAGAAAGCGCCAAACTCAGCAGAAGAGTACAGGTAGTCCTTGACTTACAATCATTTGTTTAGTGACCGTTTGAAGTTACAACAGCACTGAAAAAAGTGACTTATGAGTATTTTTCACACTTACAACCATTGCTGCATCTCCATGGTCTTGTGATCAAAATTCAGATGCCTGGCAACTGGTTCAAAATTATGCAGTTGCAGGATCCCAGGGCAATGAGTTCATCTTTTTCAGCCTTCTGACAAGCAAAGTCAATGGGAAAGCCAGATTCACTTTACAACCATGTTACTAACTTAACATCTGAAATGATTCACTTGGCAAAGATCATAAAATTGGGCAAAATTCATTTAATAACTGCCTCAGCAACAGAAAATTTGGGCTCAGTTGTACTTGTAAGTTGAGGACTATCTCTGTGTAGTCTGTACTCAGAAAGGAGGAAATAGGAAGATCCTTATGATTTAGGGACCATCAGAGTAGCAACTCTAAGTTACATGGATTCAGCATATAATTATTAGGCAGGAGGAACAAACACAGACCTTAACTATAATCAAGCTCTGTCACCTGTATATGATGTAATCCAGGGGTGTCAAACTCAACTTCATTGAAGGCCTCATCAGCATTGCCGTTGCCCTCAGGGGGCTGGGTGGGTGTGGCCAGGGTGGATGCGGCCTACTGGGTGGGCGTGGATGGAGTGGGTGTGGCCTACTGGGTAGGCGTGGCCAGCTCTACATCGTTCACGTCAAGGGTGCCTGTGTGGGCCTGGGCAGGAGTGGGACAGATCTGAGGATCTCTGGCAGAAGGGGGTGGGACCAGGGCAAGTGCCAAGGCATGGTCCACTGGAGGAGCCTCACTGTTCCTCTCAGGCCATGCGGGGGGGGCTGGATGGTGGTGCGGGCTGCCCGGAGCCATGGACAGCAGAGGTCAAACACCCAGCCTGGCCCTCGAGCACCCATGGCACCAAGCCCAGTCCCACTTGCCCAAGGGGGTGCCCAGCTGCTCTTACCTCCTCCTCAAGGCTGCTGCTGCTGTGCTTGCTCTCCTTAGCCACATTGCTCATGATGGGTACAAGGGCAAAGTCAGAGGGAGGCCCATTCCCTCTCCATGGGAGGAGACCCGGCTTTGTATTCAAAGCTTCCTTAGCAATAGGATGGGAGACCACCAGGATAGGCCAGGAGGAGGGGGCAAGAGGATGGTGAAAGGGCAGCAGGGCAGGACTAAGGTAGGACTTCCCTCAGATCCTCCCTCTCCTTTCCTTCTTTCCCTCCTTCTTTCCTAAGTACAGAGTGATGGGAAAATATTTGAGATGAGGGAGGAAGAAAAACAGGCAAGAAACGCAGCTGGGTAGGTGTCACCCTTCGTGAGGAATGAAGAAATCCACCGTCGCCTGGAAGTGGCCAGCGCGATGGTGCATTTCTTCATTCCTCACAAAGTGACACTCCCCAGCATGCACCCAGGGGGCGAGGCCGACATGGCAGGGGTTGGTTCCTCGCTGTTTCCAGACGGCCTTGTGGAGCTAAGACTGAATGCGTTTCAGCATAGATGGCTACCATAAAATTGTACATTGGCTCCCGGCCAGCCTGGGCCAGGGCCAAGGCAACGGGGGCTGTTCCCTCACTGTTTCCAGGATGGCTTCGTGGGCCACATGAAACCACTTCGCGGGCCGCATCCGGCCCCTGGGCCTTGTGTTTGACATGTCTGATATAATCTATAACAAGTAATAAATTGCTCAGTCCAGAATTTCAATGTATTCTGTTTCCTTCCCTCAGAGATGAGTTTAATATCCAAGTATTACATTCTTTTGTGGAGCTGCACGAGTTTACAGATCTCAACCTTGTACAGGCACTGCGGTGAGTGACAGAGGAAGAGATTATAATATTAGCAGATGCAAGTCTTATGTGTCTGTAGGTGTAACTGTAGATCGTGTTTTGTTTCCCATGGTTTTGGATTAACTAGCATCTTTCATGTCTGGAGAGCCAGTTTGGTGTAGTGGTTAAAGGTACTAGGCTAGAGACTGGGAGACCATGAGTTCTAAACCTACCTTAGGCACAAAGCCAACTATGTGATTTGGAGCCTGTCAACCTCTCAATGTTGGGAAACTCCCAGCCAGGCAGGAAGGAGGGGTCAGGTGAGGAACTAGCCTTGAGTTCTTGAATAGCCACAAAAGGCATAAGCCTGACTCACCCGAAGTTTCATGGAACCTTATATCTGGTTGTTCCCAAGAGAAGGCAAGTAGTCTGGAGAGATTCTTGTATTATAGGTAGAACACAGTGAAGTTGCTGACTTGGACCCTTCACTAATGGATCTGTTGTTGACACTCCTAATCCTAAAACTGAGGGAATGGCAAACCACATCACAATGACTGAAAAACTGACTCAAAGGCACACCCACACACAAACCACAATCCATGATTATACAGCGTGTTGGCTGGGGCTATGGGAGTTACTGGGGGTCTGGTAGCACTTGAAAGTCCAGATCTGCTCTGTTCCTGATGTAGCCTGTGGGTAGAGGTGTGGGGAAAGTTTTGAATTCTATTTCAGCCTCAAAACAGGTTTTTCTGATCATACCAGAAGTATGCCAATGCTTTGTTGACAATTCTGCAGCATTCCTGCCTTGAATCAGTCTTATTTTTCCCAACACTTTCTTTATCAAGCTAGCATCAATCAGATATGCTGGCTTTGTAACTTGTCAGAATTCCCAGCTGGTTGCTTCTGTAGGCAAGAAATTCTAAGAGTTGTATTTCCAACACTTTGCCAGGGGAAAGATAAATGGAATATTATTTGTGCTATAGCTTTCCTCACAACTGTACAGTGCAGAAATGGACATATAGGCTAAATTTTCATTGCCCTCACAGGCAATTCCTTTGGAGCTTTCGGTTGCCAGGTGAAGCGCAGAAAATTGACCGGATGATGGAAGCATTTGCACAACGGTACTGTCAATGCAACCCTGGTGTGTTTCAATCAACAGGTAAGTGAACAACTACCTCCAGAAGTTGTGGGAGCTCCAACACTGGAGGTTTTTAAGATGAGATTGGACATTTGTCTGAAATGATGTAGGCTTTCCTGCCTAAGCAGGAGGTTGGACTAGAAGACCTCCAAGGTCCCTTCTGACTCTGTTATTCTGTTAATTGTCACTTTAAGTTGTGCAGTATGTGCAAAGTGAAATTAATCACTAAGATTTCTAGAAAAAAACTGCCTTCTGGTTTACAGTGCTGAACCTTCAAGTTCACTGATGAAATTAGAGAAGGCTTAACACTGAAATGAACGAAGATGGAACCAAAGAACTAAAAATGTTCTCATTCTTTGTTTCTGGTCTAACTGAAACGGGGTAATAATGCCCCCTTTTAAAAAAGGTAGTGGTAATACTTGCGAATGATCCAGGAATTCCAGAATTTGAAACATAGAGCTCAGTTATGCTTCTTAATTTGCTGTTGATATTTTTGTTTGCATGCTATCGCACGCTTCAAAATCTAAGGGATTGGTTTGGACAAAACTCAGCAGCACTTTTTCATGCGGCTGCTGATAAAAACAGGATCGCCAACATGATCACCAACCTCCGATAATGGATATGGCACAAGAAGAAGAAGAAAAATGCTATCGTATAACAAAGGATCTCAGAGAAATTTATAACAATTAACTTAGCAACCGAGTTACCTTGTGATCATATGGGCAGCAAATTTAATAAATAAATACAAAAATTAAGCGTGAAATCATATTCAAAAACATTAACAATGTAGAGAAAATGAAAAAAAAACCTTTGATGTCAAGTAAAAACAGATCTTAGCTGAGTTATTTAAAAGGTGGTGGGCACCATCACCACCACCCCAGTCTTCATTGTCCCTAGAAGGCATATTTCTGGAAAAGCTATTTCTTAAGCATACTATTACTCAACATCCCTCTCCCTTACTAGCTACTTATTTAGGCACACACAGCCTTTGAAGAAATGAGTAAGTCTTATGTGAGAGCCAACTTGGTGTAATGGTTAAGGCATCAGGCTAGAACCCAGGACACTTTTCCAGCCCCACCTTAGGTGTGAAAACCAGACAGGTGTTGGGGCCAGTCACTCTCTCTCAGCCCAATCCATCTCACAGGATTGTTGTGGAGAAAATAGGATGAGAAAGGAATGTTATATATGTTCACCACCTTGAGTGAACATAAAAATATTAAATGCAGGAAATAAACAAATAAATGGTAGAAGGCAATATTTCAGGTAAAGTGACCCCAATTGGCTGAGAGTTTCAAAAGACTTTAAAGGTCAATCTGGGTTCTACAAGTAGTCCTCAATTTACAATCTTTCCTTTAATGTCCATTTGAAGTTTCAACTGCACTGAAAAAAGTGAGTTACAGTCACAATTTTAGAACCATTTCAGCATCCCCCTGGTCACATGATCAAAACACGGGTGCTTGGCGTGCTTGCTTCGGCAGCACATATACTAAAACACGGGTGCTTGGCAACCAGCATGAATTTACAATGGCTGCAGTATCCTGGAATCACGTGATTGTCACTTGCAATCTTCCCGGCTGGTTTCTGACAAGCAAAATCAATGGGGGGAAATCAGATTTGCTTAACGATCATGTAATGCAGTGAATTCACTTAACCATGGCAAGAAAGGTTTACAGAATTGGGTGTGACTCACTTAACAACTGACTTGCTTAGTAATGGAAATTCTAGTCCCAATTGTGGCCATGTGTCGAGGACTACCCGTAGGCTCTAATGTGGATGTGATCTTATGCTTCTATACCAGTGGTGGCGAACTTATGGCACGGGTGCCAGAGGCGGCACTCAGAGCCTTCTTTGTGGGCACGCGTGCCGTCGTCCTAGGCCTTCAGCTGGGCTTTATAAAACCTTTTCACTTTAGGCCTCCGCCGCCGTGTGCAAAAAAAAAAAAAGGTTCAATCAGTCAATTTCAATTTCTCGCAGGAAAAACAAAAATCTTGCAAAGTTGGAATTGATTGATTGAACTTTTTAGTCCCACCTAGTCTGCCGTTACCACCGCAGCCACACCCA